CTTTATACTGCACACTGCAGCTGCAGTGAAGGATTCTCTGCCAGCCCCAGAAATTACTATATTTATCTGAATAAGATGACCCCGAACTTAAGATGACCCCAAAATAATTAGATTCTCTACATGGAAGATTTAAACGTGTATTATAATTTTCCATGTATATCATTTAATTATTGGAGGATCATCTCAAATTTTTCTTCCACTGTTGCAGGTAGTGGAGGGAGACATGACGAGGCAGTAATGGGGCAGACAGTATGGGAGTGATAGTGAGGGAGATAGTAGGGGAGCATGTGGTAGGGCAGGCAGTGAGAGGCAGGGGCGAGGCAGGCAGTGGAGGAAGCAGTGGGGCACAGGCAATAGGGACAGGCAGTGTGAAGGCAGTGGAGCAAACAGGCAGCTTGCTCCCTGCCACCTTTTCCCTCCCATTTACCCCAACTTTGTGCCTGACCCCCACAGCCTCAGACTCCCACTCTCCTTGCCCCATCCCCTCTCTTCTCTCCTCCACATCTCTTCTGCCACCCCACACACTCATGTCCCCACCCCTTGTGACAGCTGAAAATGATGCCTGTGTGATAAAGGTGCTTGCTGAAGGCTCTATGAAGATTATATCAAGTGTTTTTCTGTATTTGTTTAGATATTAAGCTATATGTTGTTGCTAAGAGCCTAATTAAAGTTTAAGATGTAGTAAGGCCTTGTATAAAGTAAGCCCTAGTAAATTTAGCAAAGCCTTGAAGTAGTAAGGCCCTGTGGTATAGTTAAAATTAACCTTATCAAAGGAATGCAAGGCTTGTACTGCTATTAGTCAGTCTAAAGACAGTGGAAGTAAAAAGAATCTGAGTAGCTGTAAGTTATCAGCACAGCTCAGAAGTTATAAATTGACTGAAACATCCGGAAATCATTCAGAAGGAAGATACAGCTCTGTGAAAGGGACTAATTAGCTGTTGACCTGGATCAGTGGGCCCCTGGATCTCGAGGAAACCAAAGACTGAATACCAGGGTCCTTTCCGGTACCTCTCGGACAGCGCTGATCTGGGACACCTGACTTCACTGAGCTTTGTGGAAACAGAAATTTGTCATACATGAAGCATCAGAGGGGACTGCCAATAAATTGCTGACGCAAATTATTATCATCTGTCATTATCTGTCTTAGTATACTACGCATAGTCATGTTTTGTCAATAAACCTTTCTTACCTTTCTACCCCCGACCATACTCTCAATCCCGAACCCTCCGCTGGTGGCTGGGACACCCCTCCTCCCTCCTGTTTTCTTCCCCACCCTAAAGTCTCTCCCTCCCTGCCTACCCCTGCAGCTCCCCCTTACCATTGCTCCAGCACCAGCAGACTATGTCCCGCTGCAGCCTGGGGGCACTGAGCAGGGCTTCAGTGCAGCTTCACATGGGGCAACAGGGGCTTGAGCCTGTGGAAGCAGAGTGGCAGGGTGGTGGAGGGCAGGCAGAAGCCAGAATCACAAAAGCTGTCTGCCCCCCACCACTTCATACTTGATTGTACGACCCTTTGCCCTTCTTTTAAAATATAAGTTTATCACTGTCTAGCCAGATTTTCTAAGCACATTTGAATGGGGAACAATACACAACCCAAGTCAAATGCTGATTTTCAACCATTGACTGTTGTCTAAGTGTTAACAGGTGACAGTTATCAAGTTAATTATTGCCTTTCTAAAACAACCTTGGCTGAAATATAATGATATATAAAAATGACATTTATATCAAATATTATAACATACATGGTCATGAGAACAAAAAAATGGAGAGGTTTCCAAAAGCTACAATTAAGAGACCGAACACCATAAGTGTAAACCTAATTTGGGCAAGCAGATATGCATGCCATATGGTGAAACCCCAAAAGTAGCTCTGCCTTGGGGTGAATCCATGATAATAGTATTGATGGGGGACTTCAATTTTCTGGATAAGTGCTGGAAGAGCAATGCAGCCAAACATCAAATGGTGAACAGGTTCCTTACTTGGGTGGAGGACTTTCTGTTCAATAAAGTTGAGGCTCTAACTAAAGGATTCCCCATCTAGGATTTTGTCACGAAAGAATTAATTGAGTATGTGAAGGTAATGGGTAACCTGGGAGAAAGTTATCATGATATAACAGAATATACAGTTCTAAAATGGGTAGTATTCACAAGAAAAACTAGCCAAAGCCACACCTCTATAAATTATTTGGAAAAGATGGGGAATGATGACAGGAAGATTTAAGAAGTTAGCATTTGTGCAGAAAATAAACAGAATTCAAAAAGTGGCAATGTGCGAAAATGCACCAATAACAGGGATTGACGTGATAAAAGGTACTTGTAAGTAGTAATACTGAACAAACTGGTAGATGATAGGAGAGGAAAACGTGGAAGGAATCCACTATGACAGAGGGAAAAATGAAATATGATGTGAACATTATGTAAGGAGCTGAGAGATCCTACTGGTGGCACCTATATGCAATTCTAGCTTCTTGATAGCTGAAGGATCTAAACAAATTGTAGGGAATTCATGGAATAGCAATAAAAATCTTCAAGTCCTGAAGAGACAGAGATTTACAAAGAAAAATTAAAAACTAAGTTTACTTACTATATTGGACTTTAAGTATTGAAAGTATGCAACAACAAAGAATAAATTGTTCAGTATGATCAACAAGAAGTAGCAGTACGCAAATGAAAGAAAGAAGCTAAATATAATGAAAAAAACAATTAACAGTAAAGATACAGAGACTGGGGAATACACTGCACTAGTGTATTCCAGATATATACTTCCAGCCGTATAGAAGACCCAGTCCTGCCCCAACAAGGAGAAAAAACAAGATGACCTAATAAGTATTTTCCTCTTCCTGATGCTTAGAGGAAAAGTCTGCAATGAAATCTAAGTCAGTGGTTACCTTAATAAGCATGCTTAGGCCCTATAGTCAACTGTGATCCTGCAGTTGAAAAAAAATCAGCCAAATTAACTACCTTGCCACTATTGTGTTGATTCTCACCTTTTAGTTAAGAGGGAAAAAATCCTACCTCAGCCAGATGTCTAAAAAAAGGGAAGAGTTTAAGAAAGTAGGGTTGATTTCAAGTGCTATTCCCTTTGGTGCACTTTAAATTGGCACCTACAAGAATTTTACTTTTAATTAATGGACCTATATGATATGGGTCCCTGTGATAACAGGGTGTCGCAGAGCACTTAGGTGCCCTGCTCCTAAGAAGGGTGAAAACTGCTAGGGGAAGAGTCCTAGCAGGGAGTAATGAGCACAGCTGCTGGTTGCCAGGGCAACCAGAGGAGGTCAGCTGACCAGAAGGGGCAGGGCCTGGCTCCCATATAAAGCCCAGGGGCTGAGGCCAGGCGGGCCAGGGAGGAAGGAGCTCTCCCTGAGCAAAGCCGAGAGGAGAGGCCTGACCGCAGGTACAGCCTGAGCCGGGTAAAGGATGGAACATCCATGTGGTGTTTTGAGGAATTATGTTTTAGCCGGGCGGCTTTAATTTATGTTACAGCCCAAGGGCTTGCGTTTTTGTTGCTGTTTAAATACCGGTGGTTTGGGCAAGGCTATTAGGGGTATCATAGGGGGCACACAGCTGTGTGGGGACCCCAGTGCCAGCGAGAGCATGGCATTCGGGATGCAGTGACCCCAGCCCCAGAAAGGGGGGGCAGCTTTATTGGGAAGACCCAGGAGAGGGGGCAGATTTATTGGGAAGACCCAGGAGAGGGGACAGAGCAAGACAGGGTCAAGCAGGGCCCAGAGAGGGAAAAAGGGGGCCAGATTATAACAAGGCCCAGACCGAACAGAGTCAATTCCATTGGCGAGGCGTGGGCTGCGGTGTAGGGGAGGAAACAAAGCCGCAGATAGCACCCCCTGGCATCGGGGCAGTAAAAGGGCAGCCTCCTGCTAATTAACATCAATTGACAGAAAGGCATGGCAGGCGAGAAGGCGGGCGGTTGCCCCAGGAACAGGTGTGCGGGCCACGTTTAGATCGGCCCAGAGCAGATACCTGTTACACAGGGATTGAATGTGGTGACCAAGAAGATCCCTTCCTCTTCTATGTTCCTAAAACATTCACACAGCGACACTGGACACTTAAATGTATGATGCTACACTGAACAAACTCAGCATCTGTACAGGTGACTCAGCAACATCTTTGATTTATGATGTCTCTTCCCAAATCAGGAGAGGTATTTTAAGAATTCCTTACTGGTGGCAGAGGTGGCAAATCTGACATTATCTTGTCACTGTGTTTAGCACTCTGTCTGATATATGAACACAGCCAATACCAAAGCAAAATGTTTTCCTGTGTCTAGTATTTTTCTTGCCAATACAGAAACAGAAAATGTCCAGGTGGTTACAGCAGATGCCAACTAATGATGCATATATGTTGTGAGCTATCAGGTAAGTGTTGCCATTTGGGTTTCTGTGCTGGTGCAGGGGAAGGTAGAAATATGTTATATAGATATGCACTTAGCAAGGCACTCATGAATACACTGTGAACAAATTTCAATTTCTCTTAATCAAATAATAAAAAGGAGAGGCCTCTATGATACCCACTGCAATATTCCATCCTTCATTATAAATTCTTGGGACATAGAAAAGAATAGTTAAATGTACTATAATCAACTCTTATCCCTAATGACAATAAATTACTTACATTTACACCAAACGGGGCTGCACACAGACAGCAAAACAAAGATCAAAGTGCGATATCCAAATTATATTTTGTACTAAAACTGATATATTCCATTAAATAGGCTACCTATGTGCAACAAAAGAAGAAAAAGGTACGCTAGAACAGTACACAGGCTGTTACACCATATGTGTTTACAGGACTATAATAAATGTTTTTAATCTATGAAACATCTGGGACCAAAACAAACAAACAAATCAATTTGTACCCTTTTTAAGATAGAATGGGTTTATAGTGTGTAATCCAGCTTTTGCAATATAAACCTGCAGAAAACTAACAGCATCGGTCTATCCTTTAAGCTTTTTCTAGGAGTATAAAATATGCAGAATCCTACCAGGCCATATTGCCACGGGCTGTGTTGTCAAGGTGACAGAGTAGCTCCAGGGTTTGAGTGTTGCTTGATGAATCATCAGGGGATTCATGACTGCCTGATTCCAATTCCTTCGGCATCCTCCAAACAGCCGCACATGTCATGACTTTACTGTCTGAAGCTAAGCAGTAGAGGATAATGTCAACAGATCATTGTATAGGAGACACATTTTGTATAAAGTGCACCAACATTTACACTCATTTATAAGCAGTACACATCTGCTGTTTAAAATATTATTTTAAGCTGTACTCAAAGAATGCTGAACATGGATAAAGGTGCAGGCCTCAAGTTAATAATCATAACTGAATGAAGAACTCATCATTAGCACACATTTAACCCCCTTTTCTATGTTTTAAAACTCTAATTCAGCTCTGATGAAAATGCAGTTCTCCTGACAGTAGATATTCAAAGTTTGCTCATCTCAACTGATGTTAGAAATGAAAGTGACCTCTTGCCAGTGGTTGGTTTTCACCCAAGCAGTAATAATTTAGCTACAAATTTTAACATCCCTTTTTGTGGATTTACTGGGTTACACCCACCTTGTGTCTATGGCACATATACAGTACATCCTTTGCTATGAAAGACTGTTTACCAGAATGATTTGTGTTCAAAATAAATATGTTCAAGTGTCTCCACCTCTAATTCCAGCATACAAATGAACAATTTCCTAAAATATAGGATATTAACGTAGAAAGAAAAGCAGCAGAATGTGTTTAAAACAGTGTGTGTAAAATTAATTTTTAAAATGATACAGCAAAATATTGGTGCATCTCTAACGCACAAGCCAGTAATGCCATGGAGAAAAACAAAGTCACAGGGCCCATCTCTCAACTGTCTCACAGCATGCTTAGCAATTTGCACCAGTACAAAGTGTATGCAAGTGATACTAGATAAGAATGGCACACGCATTTTATATTGGTGCAAATTGTCTGGTCCACGGTGCACAAAAGATGGAGAACAGGTCAGTACAAGATAGCATTGTGCAAAGATATCACTGTGCAAAGAAAATCTCATATTTCAGGGTAGTAACAAGTTTGTCAATAATAAAGAGATGGTGTCTAAAGCAGGGAGTAGGGAGAAAGGGGGTGAATTTGATTCCATATTAAAAAATATTCAAAGTAAAAAAACAATGGATAAGTAACAGTGAAGATATGCATGTATAGTCACTTAACATCATGGCGCTCTCTCATAGTTCTTATAAATGATTCTTAGTACATTCAACTGGTTTTAGTCAATGGTGACAGATTAAGGAGCTATGAACTAAGGACATTGTGTTGGCTTTGACAGCCTGTGGAAAGGAAAAAGGAGAATCTGTACTAGAAGAGTGATTTAAAAAAATAATCATTAAAAAAATAGGTAAGTCAGAAAGTGGCCTTCTTGGACTGTGATGTCAGTGATACACTCGTAGGAAACCCAGCAGCATAACAACTAGGGTCTGCATCCTGGGCAGCAGGCTTGGTGGCGAGAGCTGAACTGGCTGCAGCAGCAATCACAGCATACCAGGCTGCTGCTGTCATTCTTAAGCCCCCTCCAAGCGGGAGCCCTGGTCACCTACTCCTCTAAACTACTGAGCATCCATATTGTTAAAGAAACTGGTCTGGGCATTAGCAATAAATATGAATAAAGCATTCTGAAGAGATTAAAAGATTAATATAAAAAAATAGAATAAATAATACATCTTAAATCTCAGAGAGAGAGGCAGGAAAGGCAGCCACTTACTAAAGTAAAACATAGATGAAATTAAGGAAAACCAATGGAAGAAAATGCCAATCAGTTCCCTGAGGAAAGGCTGAGGGAGAGGTTCATTTTACGTTGCAGAGTTCATAATACATGAACATTTGAATTTGGTGAACTCTTCATACTATGAATGTGAAAAAAAAAAATGCCTCAATTTGCTTTCACATGAACAACATCTCTAGAAAAGTAAATCTACTGGAAAGTTCCCAGTCATTTGTAACCATGTTACTAGGACTCTGTTGCGAGTGCTGTCTCATCACCCAATGCTACAACATTTAAGGCAATCCCTCCACCTCACAAATACAGATATCAAATCAAAAAGAAAAAGCAGCACATTATAGCTATTTTTCCCAAGAGGCAAATCGATGCACCCCACACCTAAGCATTTTGCGTTATATGAATCATGCAAATACAATGAGCACTTAAACTGAACTGAATTTACAATATGTCCTGTAAAGACAGCATTTCCTGAAAGAATGCCATGCCTGGATACTCAATATATGTGCTCTCATTGCTGATAAGTAACACTGAAAGGATCACTGTACACACAAAGTTTCCGCTC